CACTGACAGAATCTAATTTATACTTTCTTTGAAATATTTGACAACCTTGCGCTTATAACTGATGACAGGATGGCAGCTTGCATTCAAGAAAAAGGGAGTTAAACTGCTGGTATGTTGTATTAAGACTGTGACAAATAACAATGTATACTTTTATACATACCTAATATATCATGCCATGCACATTCAGGGTATAATTTTATAAATGTAATAATACATGGTTTAGAAACCAAGAAAGAAATTTAGAAATTTACTTTGTTACAGGTGATAAAATTATAAAAAAGATTATTCATTGTCATTTTTGTAACTAATGATATGTTGGTTAACAATAAATATCAGCAGGAAACTTGTTTTATAATTATAATAAATACATAATATGCTATTTAATTGATTTATTTATGATTTAAATGTTTTCATTTTCTTCTTCCTTTTGTTTACTGTAGGAACAGTGTCCAAAGTTTTTTGTACAGAAAAAGCATATAAACTAGCATTGATTTTCTTCAATTTTTCAAGTTCTTCTCGGAGAGTTGTTTCTTTATGTTTGAATTCCAATTCCTTAGATGGATTTTGCTGCTCTAAGCCTATATTCTGTGGTAGTTCTGTGGTAGGCCAGAAGCTGATCTTTTTGTCTACTAAAATCTCTAGTTCAGATACTTCATCCTTATCTTTTTCTAATGTTCTTTCTAAACTGTGTATAACCAAATGAGGTTTAAAGTCTTGTTTATATATCGCCTCAAAATTAAGAGTGAAGAAGGCATTTGTTATTGGTCCTTTATGTCGTATAGTTCTTATTGGTTGTCTACTTTTTATGTGCCAGAGAATGACCAGCTCATCATTAGAGGCTGACATTAATGTTTCCCCATCGAGAGAAACTGATAAACAAGTGACAGCTTTTGTATGGGATGAAAATATTAGATTGTTTTCTTCAGGAGATACCAACAAATCTTTATTCCTCACTGGATTTGTAAGGCTAAACTGATATATAGCACCTTCAGTTGTTCCAACAAATATATTCAACTCCAGTACATCCATTACTATAGATGATAATGGAATATCAAAAACTAAATTCAATAACATGTGTCCAGTTGTTAAATCATAAATTTTACAAGTCCTATCACTAGATACTGTGCAAAGACGACCCATCATACCTGTTTTACTGATACACAAATCGGTCACAGGTAGTGAATGATCTGAAATGATATACACTGGATCTTGTTGACCTGCAACTGATTGAGTGACTAGTTCCACTTCCGGATGAGAAGATATTGCCGCTACTGACCATACCATTACCATTCCATCCTCAGCTGCAGAAACAAAATACCGACCATCGCTAGTAAATCTTAACAAGTTAACCTTCTGGTAATGCCGATTTAAGATTGTTAATAAATTGCCACTTGCAGTCTGCCATAAATAAATTTTCTCATCGATGCCTGCTACACAAAATGATCCATCATTGGTAAAAGCGAAAGCATTAGCTTTGCCTGGTAAAATAAAGCGCATGCCTTGTACAGTTTGCTGTGAATTTAGAGGCCAAATATGGAGAATCGGCTTAGTTCTTTCGACTGCTGCGAGATAATCATCACCGATAAATGAAAGTGTCCGTGCTCCAGCTGTTCCACCGCCCTTATAGGTCATTAGACTAGTACCGGTGTGAGGATCCCAGACACAGCACGACCACAATGTATTATTAGTGTCACTCGTTACTAAAACTTCTAATAGATTAGACATTTTATTGCCCTGAAGTAATCGTTAAATAACAAAAGATTGGGTTCGTATCAAGTCAATCACAAATTAAAATTATTTACCATGCCATGTGCCCAGTCAATGCAGTTGAAAATGATTCTCGTTTCTCCACTATTATAAATTATATATATTAGCACAGAACACTAATACCCTTAGGCGGGTATATTAGTCTATGAATATGTTTTTGTTTTTTTTTTATTTGATCGACGTTTCATTTGACATGCCTGAGTGCCAGTAGTTTTGAAGATTATATACGTACGGTAAACCAAAATTCTATATTCAAGATGAATAAAAAACTAGTAATCTAATTTTTCAATTTTCATTGCTATATAGTTATGATAAAATTACTAATGAATAAATATGTAATGAATGAATTAAAAAAAAAAATTATCGTACTATTTGCTATTTCTACTAAAACCTAAAACCTAAAAAAGAAAAATCTATGTCTATGGTCGAACCTATTATGATTGGTTACTTCGTTGCTACAAGTCTTATAATAATTATGGTGGTTGGTGGACTGACTTTTGTTCCTTAAACAATTCCACCAATCAATGAAGTAACTATTTGATGTTCATTGGTTGATTTAGTCTTTGATATAATAAATATTATTTTAGCAAAAGTGTATTGAAGTTTTTGTAGCAGTGATAAAAATTGTCCGTGATTATAGTGTAATCAAATAGTGAAATATAGTGTCTTCTCATTCGCCAATATGTTTAAAAAGTAAGTACAACATACATGTACACATATAATTAAAATAACATATGCTTAAACATGCCTTAAACATTTTAGTTTTAGGATTTTTAGGTTATAGGGTTGCGTATTTTGTGTCAAGTGTCAATTAAAATATGACATATGACGTTTCTTTATAACTGGCTTCACGGCTCTGGGTTCTAGCCCTTCTGAGCCTAAAGTTACAATGTAAAATTATCCTTCATAGTACACTGCTTCACAATATGTTGGTGCGTCACATTGTGCAGCCCTTGGGAGATTTTGATGAAAACTCGAGCCAGCAGACAGCTGACAGTTGGCGATGGTATCTCAAGGCGCCTAAGCAGACAGACACCTATCTTGAGAATCACATCATCATCAGAGCACTTGATTCATCGTTTCCACTAAAAGTTCACATGCGCAGACACTTATTACACAAAATCGCACCACTTTTACATATTAAAATCCACTTCAAACCATTATTTAAACAATAATACAAGAGCAGCAATCCTCCACCGTTCAAGTTCCCCCCAAAACTCTCATACGACGTTCAAAAAGAAGACTAACAGACTAACATATAGCCATGGAGTGGAATAACTAAACAACAAACTAGGCAATCACCCTTGAACAAATTATAATTTGTCCAAGTAAATACCAAAACCAAAAGGCATCCCAAAATTACTAAGTTTATGGGACTTTTGTTAATCTCTTGAATGATAAAGTTACCGTTTACACATTTCTCAAGGAATCGTCCAAATGGTAAATTAATGTTTTTAATACGAAGTATCAGTTACCATGTTACATATGTAACCACAGACTAACGCACGTCACTATTGAACAAAAATTTAATTGTTATCTGTACATGTAGTTAAAGTTCAATCGTTATAAAAGCAAATTATCAAACTAAATAAAATTCGTCAATGCACTGTAACGCAACTATTTCATTCATCTTTGATTGCATTTGTGACACAATATGACGCCATGAAAGATTTTTCAATTCATGCCATCGTGTGCTTTTTGAATTTGAAGGGAATTTAATTTTTTTTAACATGTCAGCCTCATTGTACATAAAAACGCAATAACACCACAATTTATTAAATTACATGCACATGAATACCAGCGTAAAATAACAGCTTAATACTGCTCTGTTTCGTATGGTGAGTGTAGAGAACCGGAGACTCGGTTTATCGGAAAGGAGGCATTCCATCTTAGTCCTCAGGGGTGACAACACATCTGCATTTTGATTCTTAATCGAGAATAGATGTACATGTCTACAGCAACCACATATTATCAGGTGGACTGTGTGCTGTTTGTCACTCTTATCCTATATAAAAAAAAGTTTTATTTCAAGATCGTGTTTGTTTGCTTTTTTGTAAAAAAAAATAAAAATAATTACGTTTATGACTGATAGCAATAGCTTTAGTTTTGATCTCAAAGGCTTAGAGAGGCAAAAAAAATCATTCACCATGCAGAGCTTCAATGAAGATTGGTTAACGGAGACTTCTTTCAAAGCTCGAAGTAGTTTCATGTAGCAAAAAGAGGGATTCGTTTGCATTTTGTGCAAATGTTGAAGATTATAAATGAAGTTATGTGTAAATTAATTATTCACACATCTTCTATAAAAATGAAACAATATCCCATTTTCATATGGAATTCATAAGGAATTTCACTCATAATTGTAGTGAGAGTACTGCGTTTTCGAATGAAAATACAAATTTCATACAGTCATATGGCATCACTAAATACAAGAAAACTCGTTCGTTTACGGTAAGGCCTGCCACATACATACGGAATCCCGGTTTGCCTGCCAAATTTCGAACGGAAAATTACGATACGTGTGTGACGAGTCATATATTTTATATGGACTTGCTGCATTTGGAATTCCGAATCGGAATATCGAAACGGAATTTCGTATGTATGGGGTTGGCCTTAAGGCCCGCCACATACATACGGAATTCCGTTTCGGAATTTCGAACGGTCGGCCACACACAAACGGAATTCAGTTTGGCCCGCAAAATATCGAACGGAAATCTACCGTACGTGTGTGGCGGGTCATAGATTTTATATGGACTTGCTGCGTTCGGAATCCCGAATCGGAATCTCGAAACGGAATTCCGCATGTATGCGGCCGGCCTTAGTCGTAGTAGCGTAGTAGCAAATAGCGATTAATATATTATACTCTATGGTTTGGTTTTGTCTTTGGTTCGGTCATTGTCATTGGATTGGTGGTCGGCTGTGGAGTGGAGTGTCGAAACTGGATAAATTGTAGTTGTTGTTTGCACTCTGCAGCTGGTCGAAATTGATTGTTGATCTACCGTGGCAATAATGCTTACTTTCTAAAATTTGATAAAGTGAATTTTGGTTTGTTAAATAATCTGGTAGGATTTTTAACTGGTACAAATAAGACAAAAGACTGTGTGCGCCGTGCTTGTATATTTTGTGACGTAACTGGATTTCTTGCGATTATATTAACTTTTCTTTCGGATAAAAACGAAGGTCAAAACGTGTCGAATGCAAAAACTTTCCGCATAGTCGATTGCTTAGCCGCAAAAATGTGGGAAGTGGACTCTGACGTGGGGTCCCACAGTACTTTGTCGGATGGTCTTCGACGGCGACAAGGATGGGACCCCGAGGCCGAGAGTCTTGCTTCCCAAATGGACGATCTCGACGAAGTACTCGCCGAGGAGGAAGAGGGATGCCCATTGCCGTCTACACCTGAAGATCAACATCTTTTAGATGCAGAGATGGCTGAAGTTTTAAAAGCTGGAGTATTGTCTGACGAGATAGATCTTGGAGCGTTAGCGCACAACGCAGCAGAGCAGGCAGAGGAATTTGTCCGCAAAGTTTGGGAAGCCTCCTGGAATGTTTGCCACTTTAGACACTTGCCACGATGGCTACAAGACAATGACTACCTCCACAAAGGACACAGACCTCCATTACCTTCTTTCAGCGCGTGCTTTGCATCTATATTCCGCATTCACACTGAAACTGGCAACATCTGGACCCATCTTCTGGGGTGTGTAGCTTTCATTGGTGTTGCTATATATTTTCTTACGCGTCCTTCCATAGAAATACAGACGCAAGAGAAAATGATCTTTGGAGTGTTCTTTATTGGTGCTATTGTGTGCTTGGGCTTTTCATTTGCGTATCACACACTTTACTGCCACTCTGAGATGGTCGGCAAATTGTTTTCTAAGTTGGATTACTGCGGTATAGCCCTGTTGATTATGGGTTCATTTGTTCCTTGGCTGTACTATAGCTTCTACTGCCATTATAGACCAAAAATAATATACTTATCTGTGGTGATTGTCTTAGGAATATTGTCAATTATTGTGTCTTTATGGGATAGATTTTCTGAACCACGCTTGAGACCTCTTCGTGCAGGTGTGTTTATGGGATTTGGCCTTTCAGGCATTGTGCCTGCAATACACTATGGAATAACAGAGGGTTGGTTCAGCCAAGTTAGCAAAGCATCACTAGGATGGCTTGTTCTTATGGGCTTACTTTACATTTTAGGGGCAATGTTTTATGCTCTAAGAGTTCCTGAACGTTGGTTCCCTGGGAAATGTGACATCTGGTTCCAATCCCACCAAATTTTCCATGTGCTTGTCATTGTGGCAGCATTTGTTCATTATCATGGTATTAGTGAACTTGCCTCATACCGTGTGACAGTTGGCGAATGTTCAATGCCTCCATCATCAATTGCATTCTAGCCCCGTACCCTACTAAATGTGATAGTAGGCCATAAATAATTTTTAGTAGAGTACACATGGTCAATAGTTTTAATTTTTTTTTTGTACATTATATAAATTTAACATTAACAACCACTTACATCACGGGTCTTTTTTGTATTGATACTACCTACTAATTATCATAAAACTTAGATAATTGTTTCAAAACCTTCAAATTAACTAGGGTTTTAAAATATTTTTATAAAAGCACATTTACTTTACAAAGTAAGGGAACTATTGATTTGATGTTTTGAAAAGAAATAAAAAACAATGGGTATATTTGTAATTTATGGTTTAGAGAAATATTACTTTTAAGAGCTATCCTTTTATTTATTTATTAAAATTTGAAGTAGATGTATAAGTTTTAGTTTAAATCCTTTGTTTCAGACATACCTTTTTTTTTTAAATTGCACATTGAATTTTCTTCTCACATTCAATATTTTATTCCAATGTTAACATACTTTTCTAAAAGCAAGATTTTATTCAACCAAAGTACTTAAATATTTTTTACAGCTAGTTTCTTGTAATAAATTCTAAGTATTAGAAATCTGATTGGGTTTATATAAACTTATAAGAATCCATAATTTTTTCTTAAGACAACTATGTTGAATTGTCTATATGTATACTTATTGCTATATTACAAAAATATGATAATTACAGTACCTACTAATTATTAATAGGAAAATCATTTGTGTTGACAATAGCTCAGGCAAATTTTCCTTAATTATGTTTTTATAATCTTATTTGTCATTTTAAAGTCAGTCTTCATATATCTGTATTATTTAAAAATGTCTAATGAGCACCAACAATTGTTACATCCTAAGTAATTGTAATAGTATAAAAAACCTAAATAATAAGCAATTTTTATACCTTAATAGTTTTTTTATACATTCCACTGCAACAGAAAACTGCTAATGTGAGGTGTGAAATATTTATTTCTCTGGAAAATGTGTAGCTAAAATTGTTCTATAGCCTTGCATAGTATTAAAGAAAATAAATTGAAAGTATATTCTAAATTGTTGTAAGTGTTCATAAATATAAAATTTTATGAGAAAATGAAAAAAAAATAGTTATGATGGTACTTATAAAGTAAAACTAAACTACTGTCATGAGAATAACATTTTATTGATATTAGTAGGGAGAGTACTAATTGAGTACTTCTCTTTCTGTTTTCATCACATTCAAAATTTAGGATAAAATAATATGTTGTGTTTATGTGCACTAAAAGTAAAGTTTGATAATGTAGCATATTTAATTTTTTGTAAGTATATTTTCGTTTTAATACTGATATTAGTATTAAAAACTAAATGTATTTTGGATTCTTATATTGGTTGCATATCAAAAGAAATAAACAATATTATGAAGATAACATTCTCAAGTCAAGATTGGACTGACAATGAAAGACAATATTTTTCGCAGATGTATTTATTGCAATTTTCAATATATTATCTGTTACCATCAATTTCATACAAGAAACATAATTTCAACTTAAAATTTCTAATAAAAAATATGTGCATTTTTTAATTGTTACGTTTTTTCATTACATAAATTAAATTTAAGTCTGTAGTATAATTTTGCTTTATGTAAATTTTATTAAAATGGGCAACAATTGCTTGAAATTATCTGTTAACATTGTTTGCTTTAAAATAATTTGTTATAATGATTTCTTTTCTAAAGTTAAAAATATTATGATATTGCAATAAAACATAAGAATTGATTGCAGTGTTTTTCTTGTATTTTATACAATAGGTACAAAACTATGACAAATTTTATTTAGTAGACTAGTACCTTCTTAAATCTACACTATTGAAGTAATATTATGTAGGTACTTCGTTACATTATACTTCAATGATCACCACTATTTTTTATTTCCAAAAAAAAATATTAGGATGTCCAGTAACTGAAATTATTTTATATTACAATATTATTCCAACATAATATTATTTAGTAACATTCAAACTTTGCATATCATTTCAATATTTTCTGATTTAGACAAGTGCAGGCAGGCGAGTGTCACTGACAATAAGGTGCAATGACAATCTAGTAAAAATAATCTGCAGTTCTTTTTTTCGTAAAATTTTGTACAACCGACTTCAATATAAATTATTAAGAATAACTCAAAAACTATTAGTCAGACCTTCATCAAATTTACATGGGACCACATGAGAAGCACCAGCTTTCAAATAAAAAATAGGATCATCGAAATCGGTTCACCCAGAAAAAAGTTATGAGGTAACACATAAAAAATCATACAGTCGAATTGAGTAACTCCTTCTTTTTGAATTCTGTAGAAAAAGCAATTTTTAAATAAAAATCTGATACATAATACCAATACAACTTCTGTATGGACAAAAAAAACTAGTTATGCAAACTAAACTAAGAATATATTAGAATAGAATAGAGTTATTTTCGTTACACAGAGGCACTTTATTTTTTAAGTACCTGTAGTGAGTGGTTCATTTACAATAAGGGCTATATATAATAGTCTTACCCTCACTAGATGTCGCTAATTGGGACTGAGGTGAATTTATTTGATTATTATTCGGTTACTAGTGTTTGTACGAGTACCCAAAACAATGCCACAGTGCTGTATTCTATAGTTTTTACGCATTTTTAACTTTTTTTTAAACTCTTCTACTTTAAGGAATATCCGTAGTTTGATTTATCCATTTCTAATCTAATTAATCTATCTATACATATAATAAAACTGTAAGTAGCAGATGTCTGTACATTTTATATTTTTGTAATAAAAGTGATTGAGGGGTACTAAAAATAAGTAATTAAATACATTTCTACCATTTTTAGAATTTTCTGTCTGTCTGTCTGTCTGTCTGTTTGTTTGTTAACGTATCACGTATAAAGTACTAATTTATATCATAAGAATTGTTAAGGAAATTATAAAGTGTATCTTCGGGTTACATTTAGTCTTTATTTCATTAAAATCAGTTCATTCCATCAAAAGTTATGATAAATATTCTGAAGTATGGGTAGGGAAGTATAGGTACGAATTTGCTCAACGGTGGCTTTGTTTGAGTCATCAAGTGCATTTTAAACTAATATCATATCATAAATCATGGTTAAATTATGTAAAATAATGATATAATTATGTATATCTAAAACGCAGTAAACAAAAGTAATAAAGAACGTATTAAATATATTATACAAAAATATATTAACGTTATTAACTAAATCTGAAGCACAATAGTTAACCCATTTCTTCGATAGATGGTGGTGTTGTGAAAATGTAACGCAATTGCAAATGTGGGTTTTTCCTGTAGATGAGTTTTCATATTTACTGCTAATCTTTATTATATTACTCGCTGCCCTACTGCATGTTGACAAACTCAATTTATTCTTTACCGCCGAGTACTCTATGTGGTAAATCAAATTTTAAGAGAACTATTAACAATTGCATTGGTTTTGGCGAGAGTCAAACTTTATTTTTTGCTTACTGTGCAGGCACTGATTTATAAGTTCTCTTACGTTTTATATAATGTATCAATCGCGTCAATTAATCTCTTTTATTTTTAGAATTGATGATGTTAGCAGCGCCATCTCTCTTTAAATATATACATATAATAAAAATGATGATAACATGTTGTGTCTCTTTCTGTACATTGTATATATATATTGGTGGCTAAAATCATTATGATGAACTGAAAATAATTAAATAAGAACATTCTAGAATTTTTAGAATTGTCTGTCTGTCTATTTGTCTGTTATTATATGAACGCATCACGTCTAAAGTAAACATCTTTTATTTTCAAAGAAATCGTTAAGAATATCATAAAGCGTATCTTTGAGTTACATTTAATCTTTGTTTTATTAAAATTGGTTAATTCTATCGAAAGTAATGATTATTATTTTGAAATATAGGTTCGAATTTGTTCAATGGCGCCATAAAATCTCAGAAATAGTAATAAAAAGATTTCTGTGTAAAAAAAACGTTCCATAATAATTAATATATTTATACTTAAAACACAAAAAGAGATAGGATGTTTTCTCACACAAAGGACGTAATAGATGGAGTTGTACAAATTACAAACTTTTCTGAATTGCTGTGTTGAGATTTTTCGCCGATGAATCGTATTGAGACTTACTGAAGAAATTTGTATCCATCGAAGCCATACAACGGAACCCGACCAAAAATAAAAATATTGCAACGAAATGTCGTGATATTGTATTTATAATATACGCAAAATCAGAACTGCCATTTTAGCGCTTTGGGAACTAGATTTAGCACTTTTTTGGAATGTATAGCGCGCATTTCGAAATTTTAGCGACTAGCGGGTTATTAACTCTTTTATAGCAGCACTGTTAGTCCACATTACCGATAATAATAATAATGACCTTTATTATTTTTTCCCACAAATAGTACATTGCAGTTTATCTTTTTCAAACATATTTTTTCCACAAAACAAAGAGCATGGGAGACGAGTCCAAACTAGGATACCCTGTGCTATGGATCTCCTGGCTTCCCCTTTAGGATGATCAACTTGATTTTTTTACCGACGACTATAAGCGGGGAAATCCCCTTTATTAAAGTTTTCGTTCATGGTTTTGGCAACGCATTTATTTTGCTTTATTCAGTTTCAGTCAGTTGCTTAGAGCACAGCTAAGTTAAAAGTTACTTAGAAGTTATAACACAAAGAAACTGTGTAGCAACCGCAATCAGATGCTGACATCTGAAACTAAGTTGCGAAATACATTGCACTTTAAAACAATTAATGACATTTTTATTGTTCGTACAGTACTAACTACTGTTGACAGCAATTGCTATAATTATAAGTCGATGTCCTGCGAAGTATTGATACATCAAAAAAATATTGCCAGAAAAAAAACTTAATGTTGTTTTCTTTATTGTGATTATATAAAAAAACACAAACTTTGTTTGTAGTTAATTTAACGCGAAATCTAGGGCTTTTTTAAAGCGCTGTTTTCATGAAATCTAGCGCTTTTTGTGTTGTCCTAGAGCTGAATGA